TGACAAATCCAACGCCTTGGGATGGTGGCCTTACCCTTTGGGTCTAATACCCTCGGCTCCTGACACTTTAAAAGATTATTATTCTATTAAGATTTATTTTATTTATTTGAAAGGCAGAATAACAGTCTAGAAGAAGAGAAGGGGGGAGAAAGAGAGAGAGAATCATTCATCTCCTGGTTCCCTCCCCGAATGGCTGCACTGGCCAGGGGGTGCCAGGCTGAAGCCAGGAGCCTGGAACTCCATCCAGTTCTCTTACACGGGTGCAGGGGCCCAATGACTTGGGCCATCTTCTGCTGCTTTCCCAGGCGCAGGAGCAGGGAGCTGGATCAGAAGTGGAGCAGCCAAGACTCAATCTGACGCTCTGATGTGGGATGCCTGTGCCACAGGTGGCAGCTTAACTCACTGTGCCGCAACATTAGCCCCAAAGATTCTTATTTTAAAATTGTGTTTGTATTAAATATATAGTGGTGGGGCCAGTGCTGTGGCATAGCAGGTAAAGCTGCCGCCTGTAGTGCCGGCATCCCATATGGGTACTGGTTTGAATTCCAGCTGTTCCACTTCCAATCCAGCTCTCTGCTGTGGCCTGGGAAAGCAGAAGATGGCCCAGGTCCTTAGGCCCCTGCACCCACATGGGAGACCCAGAAGAAGCTCCTGGCTCCTGGCTTCAGATTGGCCCAGCTCCAGCTGTTGCAGCCATCTGGGGAGTGAACCAGTGGATGGAAGACCTCTCTCTCTCTCTCTCTCTCTCTCTCTCTCTCTCTCTCCGCCTCTGCCTCTCTGTAACTCTGCCTTTCAAATAAATAAATAAATCTTTAAAATAAATAAATACATACATACATAGTGGCTACAGAAGAGCATTAACAATACATGTATAAAGATAGGAATATATATTTAAAATGCTTACTTATTTTCATCTACTTGAAAGGTGGGGAGGGAGGGAATCTTCCATCTGTTGGTTCACTCCCCAAATGCCTGAAACAGCCAGACTTGGGCCAGGTGAAAGCAAGGAGCCAGGAGCTCCATCCACGTCTTCCATATTCGTGGCAGGGGTCAAGCCTCCCAGGATGCACTAGTAGGAAACTGGATTGGAAGCAGAGCAGCCAGGATATTCTGGATATGAGATGTGGGTGTCCCAAGTGGCAGCTTAGCCCACTGCCTCACAACACCCACCCCAATATGTTCCTAAGCCTGTGCCCCTGTCTCTCAGTGGAGGAGACCATCACATCCCCACCCCAGCCTCTCTACCCTGCCTACCTCCCTTCTCTCTCAGAGGAATTTCTCCCTATTATATGTATCACACTTTATCATGCCCTTACTTTTGTTATAATTTTTCAGAGATTTATCTATTTGAAAGTCATGTTGTGGCACTGAGGGTAAAGCTGCTGCCTGCAGTGCCAGCATCCCATATGGGCACTGGTTCGTATCTCAGCTGCTCTACTTCTGTTCCAGCTCTCTGCTATGGCCTGGGAAAGCAGTAGAAGATGGCCCAAGTCCTTGGGCCCCTGCACTCATGTGGGAGACTCAGAAGAAGCTCCTGGCTCCTGGCTTCGGATCAGCTCAGCTCTGGCCCTTGCAATCAATTGGGGAGTGAACCAGCAGATGGAAGACCTCTCTCTCTTGTTCACTCTCTCTCTCTCTGCCTCTCCTCTGTGTAACTCTGACTTTCAAATAAATAAATCTTAAAAAAAAAAAAAAGTCATGTTACCCAGAGAGAAGGCGAAAAATCAATCTTCCATCTGCTGGTTCATTATCCAGATGGCCACAATGGCCTGGGCTGAGACAGGCCAGTGTCAGGAGCCAGGAACTTCATCCAGGTCTTCCACATGGGTGCAGGGGCCCAAACACTTGGGCCATCTTCTGCTGCTTTCCCAGGCCATTATCAGGGAGCTGGATCAGAAATGGAGCAGCCAGGAATTAAACTGGCACTCATATAGGATGCCGGCATTGCAGGCAGTGGCTTAACTTGCTATGCCATGATACCCGCATAATTTTTTTTTTAAGATTTATCTTACTTATTTGCAAGGCAGAGTTCCAGAGAGAGAGGGAGAGGCAGAGAAAGGAGGAGAGAGAGAGAGAGAGAGAGAGAGAGAGAGAGAGAGAGAGAATCTTCCATCTGTTGGTTCACTCCCCAAACGGCTCCAGGGCAGGACCAGGCTGGAGCCAGGAGCTTCATGCAGGGACCCAAGGACTTGTGCATCCTCTCCTTTCCACCTCCGAGCACATTAGCAGGGAGCTGGATCGGAAGCGGAGCAGCTGGGACTCCACATGAGATGCCTGCACTGCAGGTGGCAGCTTAGCCTGCTGGGTCACATCCACTGGTTCACTTCCCAAATGCCTGAAACAGCTACTAAGGCTGGGTCAGGCCACAGCCAGGAGCCTGGATCTGAATTTGGATCCTCCATGGGGTGGCAGGGACCCAGGTCCTTAAGCTGTCCATCGCCTGCTGCCTCTCTGGGTGCACATCAGCAGGAAGCTGGAGTCGGAAGTGGAAGCAGAGGAGTCAGGACTTGAATCAGGCACTCTGACATGGGATCCCGGCATCCCCAAAGCCACTTAATTGCTTTTTTAAAAAAAAAATTTTTTTTCATTTTTTTGAAAGGCAGACCAAGCAGGGAAATTCCACCCCCTGGATATAAACAGACAAGAGGGCCAGAGAGCTTCCATCTATGGTTCACTCTCCTAATTCCCAAAACAGCCAGGACTGGGTGAGACTGAAGCCAGGAGCCATGTGGGTGACAGAGACCCCATCACCTGAGCCATCCCTTGCTGCCTCCCAGGGTGCACACTGGCAGGAAGCTGCATCTGAAGCAGAGGTGCTGGGACTTGACCCAGGCACTTTGATAAGGGAAGCAGTGCACCGTCACTTTTCTTTTTTAAGATTTATTCATTTATTTGAGAGGCAGAAGTACAAACAGAGAGAGAGAGAGAGAGATCTTCCATCTACTGGTTCACTCCCCCAAATGGTTGCAATGGATGGAGCTGAGCCAGACCAAAGCCAGGAGCCAGGAGCTTCTCCTGGGTCTCCCACATGGAGAGCACTTGGGCCATCTTCCACTGCTTTCCCAGGGCATTAACAGGGAGCTGGATCAGAAGTGGAGCAGCTGGGACTCAAACCAGAGCCTATATGGGATGCCAGCACCAGCTCCTACATCTTCACTTCTGTGTGACTGTCTACTAGTCTACACTTTTCTTTTTTAAGATTTATTTATTTATTTGAAAGGCAGAGTTACAGAGGCAGAGAGAGAGAGGTTTTCCATCCACTGGTTCACTCCCCAATTGGCCGCAATGGCCAGAGCTGTGCCGATCTAAAGCCAGGAGCCTGGAGCTTCCTCTGGGTCTCCTGTGTTGGGTGCAGGGCCCAAAGCACTTGAGTCATCTTCCGCTGCTTTCCCAGACCATTAGCAGAGAGCTGGATGGGAAGTGGAGCAGCAGCCTCATGGGATGCTGGCGCTGCGGGCAACAGTTTCCGGTTTTTTGCAGAGCGCTGCTATGACGCTTCTTGTGCGTGCATCCCACTGCGTGTGTGTGTTCTGAGGCTTATCTAGGGCAGGTTTGGCTGCACCAGAGGGCACGCACATGTGATTGTGTCAGTCCCAACAGAGTGTTTAGACATCAATACTTGATATTTAGCGATTTGTAAATATTCACTTTATTGATGAAAAATATTTCCTTTGCCAGTTTTTTTCAGATTATTTTGGTATTCTGCAAAGCAGTTCATTTCATTTTATCGTTTACAGTTTTATTGGAGCCAGTGTTGTGCTGTGGTACAGCAGATTAATGCAATGCCGGCATCCCATGTGGGCACCCATTTGAGTCCCAGCTGCTCCACTTCCAATGCAGCTCTCTGCTAATGCACCTGGGAAGGTAGTGGAAGATGGCCCAAGTGCTTGGGTTCCTGCACCCATGTGGGAGATGCGGATGGAGTTCTGGGATCCTGGCTGAGTCCTGGCCCAGCCCCAGAGCTGTTGCATCCATTTGGGGAGTGAAGCAGTAGAAGGAAGAATTTTCTGTGTGTGTCTCTCTCTCTAACTCTGCCTTCAAATAAATCAAATTTCTAAAAACTGGGGCTAGCACTGTGGTGTAGGGGGTAAAGCCGCTGCCTGAGTTGCCAGCATCCCATATGGGCACCGGTTCAAGTCCCAGTTATTCCACTTCCAATCTGGCTCTCTGCTATGGCCTGGGAAAGCAGTAGAAGATGGTCCACGTCCTTGAGCCCCTGCACCTGCGTGGAAGACCTGGAAGAAGCTCCTGGCTCCTGGCTTCGGATCAGCACAGCTCCGGCCGTTGTGCCGATCTGGGGAGTGAACCAAAGGATGGAACACCTCTCTCTCTCTCTCTCTGCCTCTGCCTCTCTGTGACTCTGCCTTTCAAATAAATAAATAAATAAATAAATCTTTAAAAGGACTCTTAGAAGTCCTTCCTATAAACCAACACCTATTTTTTAGAAAAGGATTTATTTTATTTATTTGAAAGGCAGAGCAACACAGAGGGGAAGAGACAGAGAAAAGAGCTCTTTCCTGTCCATTGAGTCATTGCCAATTTCCAATAGCCACAATAGCCAGAGCTGGGCCAGGCCCAAGCCAGGAGCACAGAACTTCATCCAGGACTCACACGCGGGTGGCAAGGGCCCAAGGATCCTCCGCTGCTCTCCTAGGTGAATTATCAGGGAGCCGGATCGGAAGTGGAGCAGCTGGGGCTTGACATGGTGCCCCTGGAGGAACCGGGGATTCGGAGGACCACAGGCCAGGGCTTAACCCCATGCGACCTCCTAACGCAGTCCCGGCGCTGTCCGGTCAGTTACAGCACCAGGCGCCCGCAGGAGGTGACGCGCTCCCTGCACCGGGGTGCGGTGACAGCCCCTGCTTGTCTGCTCTGCTCCTGACACCCGCTCACTACGAGCACAGCGGAAGGTCGCGCTGTGAGACTGTGAGACAGCCGCCTGGACGCCGAGGGCCCGGTTGCGGGGGAGCCGCGTTCACTGGCCGCGGGCGCGGCCGGCCAGCGCGCGTGCGCCGCGTCTCTCCAGCCCGGCGGGAAGCGGCCCCAAGGGAGGGTCAGATTCCATCCGTTTCGTCACCCGGTCCGGCGCGCAGTTCCTTCACAGACTCAACCTAGGGGGACGGCAGCGCGGGGCGCCCGGGGTGGGGTTTTGGCGCCAGTCACAGGCCCCCAGCCCCTACCTCCGCAATCTGGGGAGCGCCCCCCTCGAGCGTAAGGCAGAGTCCCTGGGCCGGCTGGGCTGCAGCCCGGGACCATCAGCGAGGTCGCCCTAGCTCTGTGCTCAGCCTCACAAGGGCCAGCGAAGTCGCCAGGACTCCAGAGCCTGTCCGGAAGGGTTGCAGGCAGAGAGGGTAGGGTCACGACGTGCGGGACGTCGGGGTTGCTGCTACACCGCGCCTCCAAGCCACAGGCCCCCTTCCGCCCGCACTCCGCCCGGGGTCCAAGTCCGCAGCCCCAAGGCCGGGCAGGTGGAGCGCCGGGCGCGTCATCGCAGGCCGCTCCTGATTGGCCGGCCGCCCCGGGATCGGCGCCGCCGGAGTAACGGGATCCCGGCTGCGGGACGCAGTCCAGAGGAGACGCGAGAGGAGCTGAGAGCCGGGCCGGGACGCGTGCACCATGCCCTACCTGCTCATCAGCACTCAGATCCGCACGGTGAGTACCGGCTGCCCTGGCACCTGGAACCCGTTCCGGGCGCAGGGAGCTGTGGTCGCACCTTCGGCAGTGCCCACCCAGGCTGGATCCGGAGCCCGCGCGGACACGCCCCCCTCGACGGCGGAGAGAGCTGGGGAAGCGGGCTGAGCCCCTCTTCCGCAACTCGGGAGCTCTGGTCGGCCCGGAGTCTCCGTGGCCCCGAGCTGGGCCGCGTGCTGCGTCCGCGCCGCGGGGCGAGTCTCCTAGCCGTCCGTGGGGGGACGCAGGGAGCCCTGCCGGCACACGTGCAGCTCCCAGCCCCCTACACGGAGCTACTCGGCAGGAAAAAAGTGGACAAACCTGAGGGAAGGCGTTGGGAAGGAAAAGGACGCGCTCCTGCGCTGAAAGCCGTGCCAAAGCCCTGGCGTGCACACAGCCCCCAGCTGCGTCCTTGGGCACCTCCAGCAAGGACGGTCCCTGGGGCTTCAGGAGAGGAAAAGAAGGGCCGGCGAGAAGGGGCCATAGAGGCGGGGAGGACGCCATCCAGGAGTCAGGTGCCGCTTTCTCCTCCGGGTAAAGAGAGTGCTGGTGGCCCCAGGAGGCCCCTTTGAGCTTCAGAATTATCAGATGGCCCCACCCCATTTGTGCAGCACAGCCCCATGCGCTGGGGATGCGGGGCAGAGGAAGAGGCGGACCTGGTGGTCTGTCGGCAGTGTGCCTTTAGGGCAGTAGGTGAAACGGGGGTTCCTGGGGTGGGTATCTGGCCGAGTGGTCCAGACACCAGTGGGGCACTCACATCCCGAATCAGAGTGCCCAGGCTCAGGTCCCTGCTCCAGCTCCTGCCTCAAGCTTGCTGTTAATTCCCACACTGGGAGGCAGCAGGTGACCGCTCAAGCAGATGGACCCTGCCTTCCAGGTGGGAGACCGAAGTCAGTGCTGCAGGGACCTGGGAGGCAAACCAGCTGACAGGAAGCTTCTCTACTTCTCCAATAAAATACTGTTTTTTTGAAATTTACTATTTTTGAAAGGCAGAATTGAGGAGAGCGAGCTTCCATCTGCTGGTTCACTCCCCAAATGGCTACAAGAGCCACAGCTGGGCCAGGCTGAAACCAGGAGCTTCTGCCAGGTCTCCCACACAGGTGCAGAGGTTCAAGCACTTGGGCCATCTGCTTTTCCAGGCCAAAAACAGAGATCAAAGAGGAACAGCCGGCGCCGCCCTCCACCTTGCGGCACCGGCACACCGGGTTCTAGTCCCGGTCGGGGGGCCGGATTCTGTCCCGGTTGCCCCTCTTCCAGGCCAGCTCTTTGCTAGGGCCAGGGAGTGCAGTGGAGGATGGCCCAAGTACATGGGCCCTGCACCCCATGGGAGACCAGGAGAAGCACCTGGTTCCTGGCTTCGGATCAGCGCGGTGTGCCAGCCGCAGCATGGCGGCCATTGGAGGGTGAACCAACAGCAAAAGGAAGACCTTTCTCTCTGTCTCACTGTCCACTCTGTCAAAAAAAAACAAAAAAAAAAAAGGCAGCTGGGACAGGAACTGGCACCCAAATGGGATGCCAACATCACAAGTGGCAACTTGCTGTGCCACAATGCAGGCCCCATAAAGTATTTTAAAATGTGGGTTCCTGGAGCCATCGCTGTGGTGTAGCAGGTAGAGCTGCCACCTACAGTACCAGCATCTCTCACAATTCAGCTCTCTGCTACAGCCTGGGAAAGCAGCAGAGAATGGGCCAAGTGATTGGGCCCCTGCACCCACGTGGGAGACCTGGAAGTGTTGCTGTGGATTTGTTCTGAGAGGAGGAGCGTGGTGGGGGCAAGAAGTGTGGAGTCACCACACAGACCCTGGGAGCTGGGTGAAAGCAGGCCAGAAGTGAGCAGCCCACAGACTCGTTTATTTCAGTTGGTACAACAGCTTATATAGCTGAGGCAGCCAATCCAGTCAAGGGGAGGTTTATGCCCTATCCAATCACAGCCTGTTTCCAGGCAGGCTCTGTTGCCAGGTGGTTTCCCAGGGGGTTTCTGAAGCCATTCCTGAGTAACTGATGCTCGCTTGCCAGTGGCCATCTTGGCATGGCCTTTTCATTCCACCACATTTCCCCCTTTTCATTTATTTTTGAGCAATGGGAGGCATGATTCTTGGCCATACTATTATTGACCCCGTTTCCATGTGGTCTCCATACGAGGCTGTGCCTGTCTTAGGTTGTCCCCCAGGGGATCTTACCCGTCATTGACTAACCAGCACTCAAAACGGGAGACCACAGGAGTGCTTGCTCAGATAGGGGTAGGAATGAGGAACAATGGTATCAGGAATGGCATGACTGCACACAGACTGTGGGCCATTTGAGTGGCTGACCAGAGCTAGTGGGGTCTAAAGCAGTAGCGAATGTGGCTATGAGCAGTTCCTCAGGGTAGGACGATAGGGCAGGTGCATCTGCTAACAAGGCGGACTCTCAGTCTTGTTCAGCTGGTTTTGGTTGACTATCAGTTGCAGGCTTGATGTTTCTGGCTGATACCCAAATAGGCTGTCCTGCATTCTCTGGAAAGACACAAGCATGGAAGAAGACCCTGGCTCCTGGCTTTGGATCAGCACAGCTCCAGCCATTGCAGCCATTGGGGAGTGAACCAGCAGATGGAAGAATCTGCCCTCTCTCTCTGCCTCTGCCTCTCAAATAAAATAAATACATTAAAAAAAAAAAAAAGTAGATTCCTGTGCCCCTTCCTAGATCACCTGGAACTCACACTGAGACTGGGAAATCCATACTTGGCAATGTGCCCCCAGGTGCTATCCATCTCTTTTTTTAAAAAAAAAAAATATGGCTTCAATGATGTGTGCACAGATATGGAAGGAAAGCAATTCAGACTCAGTTTCTACTATGCACCCACAACACATCTCACTTTTTAAAATTTTTATTTGAAAGAGAGAGAAAGGGAGAAATAGTTGGGAGAGAAAGATCTTCGATTTGCTGGTTCATTCCCCAGATGGCCACAACAGCCAGGGCTGGGCCACACCAAAGCCAGGAGCGTGTTTCAAGGCTTCCACCTGGGTGCAGGGCCCAAGCACTTGGCCCATCTTTTGCCTTTCCCAGGCACATTAGCAGGGAGCTGGATTGAAAGTGGAGCACCCGGGACTTGAACCGGCACCCATGTGAGATGCTGGTATCCAGGCACTGGCTTTACCCATTAAGCCACAATGCCAGCCCCGACCGCTCACTTTTGTAACCCAAAAGGATTGGGGATTTCTCCCCACCATCAAACAAGCAATTTATGCTGCTAGAGGAGACGCCAGCTACTCTACTTTCCCTAAAAAGCAGCCCAGTGAGCCACTCCCCATTTCCCCCTGGTAACCACAAGTCTGCTTCCCGTCTCCCGCTGCCGCCTTCACTTGACTTACCCAGCGTCGGCAGGGTCACCCACACTGCAGTGTCTGTACTTGAGTCCGCCTACTGCCAGGTAAGACTCCAGCTGACAGCGCTGGGGCCGTTTCCTCCTTTGAGCCACTGTACTGCGACCAGTGCCGCTGTGAGCGTTCATGGATGCGCTTTCACCTCTTGGCCTCCAGGTGATGCTGATGTACACAGACGTGGGTGCCAGTGCCTGGCATGAAGGTGCCAACAGCCGTGCAATGCCCAGTGCAGCTTAGCGGGGCTGGGGAGGCCCAGCGCTGCTCAGCTTCATCCCTGAGGGGCTCCAGCCCGTGCCGGCTGGGCCTGGTCTCCTGCAGCCTTGATCAGCAGCTCACTCAGGGCCAGCAGGCAGGGGAAGAGGAGAGTGGAGGCCTGACAGCCACCGTGGCTTCCCTTGCAGGAGGTGGGCCCCACCATGGTGGGCGATGAGTACTCGGATCCAGAGCTGATGCAGCATCTGGGAGCCGCCAAGAGAATTGTCCTTGGAAACAACTTGTAAGTAGCTGCTGCCCCCACACTGGCCCCTGATCCCTTTACACTACCACCAGGTCCAGGGGCAACAACCCCTGCCTGCTTCCTGTCCTCTCTAGGGTCCGCCATGGCCTCCCTATGCCCCCCCGAGGCCTCCCACTGGCCTCCGTCACAGGGCGGCTCATGCTTCGCAACAGTCTGCTCCCTGGGTCTCGGCTGCCGGAAGCAGCCTGCTCCTTGCCCTGCCCTCTCATCTAGCCCCCATCAGGCAAAGACACGGTGAGGAAGGATTCTGTCTTGAAGAGCTGGCTGGGTCACTAAGCTAAGCTCTAGCAACCAGAGAGCAGGAGTCCGGCTCGGCTGGGACAGGGCTGCTTCCCTCGGCGTCACTCGCACCAGCGCCGTGTCTAAGCCGTGACCCCTTCCTACCCACTAGGCAGGGGAAACTCCGGCTACACAGGCTTAGAGCTCCAGAGGAGCTGCTGAAGGGAGTCCCAGGTCACAGGAGGCAAAAAGAAGGGAGCCAAACCCAGCCCCGAGGGTCGAGGTTGGAGACAGAAGCCAGCCCCTTCGCTTTGCCGTGGAGCATCTGCCTCTAGAAGCCCAGTCGGGGCTTGCGCTCCTCATCTGCTTCCTGCACCTGCAGTGTCAGTTACACGCGAAAGGAGAGAAAGCACCCTGCCCCGCGCTGGGGACGGCCCCGCCAGGGCGCCCCGGGAGAGCAGCCGCTCTTCCTGAACAGCACCCGCGCCAGCCTCCCACGGCTGCTGTCAGACCAACATGCGCTCTACTGTGTGCCGCTGGGCAACCCACACAACTCCTCTGTTTTCTCGAGAATACCAGGGGTCTTCAAAAAGGTCATGGGCTGTATAAGAAAATCTATCCATGGATTTCAGAATTTTCTTGCACCAAGAAATACTGATTTTTTATTTTTTTTCTTTTTTTTTTGTTTTCTTTTTTGTTGTTTTTTTTTAATTTTTTTCTTTTGAAATACTGATTTTTTAATTAAAAAAAAATTTTTTTGAATGACTTGGAAGGCAGAGACACAGAGAGAGAGAGGTCTTCCATCTGCTGTTCACTCCCCAGATGGCCCCAACAGCCAGGGCTGGATCAGGCCAAAACCAGGAGCCAGGAGCGTCATCTGGTCCCTCCCACATGGGCCATCATGTACTGCCTTCCCAGGTGCATTAGCAAGAAGCTGGGTCAGAGCGGAGCAGCTGGGACTAGAACCAGCACTCAGAAGCTGCGGCTTAACCCGCTGTACCACAGTAGCCCCATTTCATTCCATTGCTTCATAAACCTCTTGAGTACCCTCCTATGGTGGCATCATTAAGTTGCTGGGAGGAATGAATGAGATGGCACAATGGACAGGCCTGGCAGGGGAGGGGCAGGGCAACCCGCTAGGGAGCACCTGGCCCGTGTGTCTCTACCACGAGAGCTCTGGCCAGGCCTGGCCGGCAGCGGATCCCAGCTTGCAGGGGTCTGCTCTGTGGAGCGCCTCACCCACCGCGCTGGTGTCTCTGCAGCTCTGAGTACTACGTCAACGACCCTCCTCGCATCGTCCTGGACAAGCTGGAGCGCAGGGGCTTCCGGGTGCTGAGCATGACTGGAGTGGGCCAGACGCTGGTGTGGTGCCTGCACAAGGAGTGACTCTCACGGAGGGGCTGCCCCCTGTTTCCAGTCGTCTCCTTCTTCGACTCAGCCGGCCTGGGGGGATGGGGGCAGCAGCCCTTGCCCCCGTGTTCCCAACTGCCCTGCAGCTTCAGGCCTGGCCTTGACCAGCTGTGCTCTGTGGGTTGGCTGCCCCTGTCAGCAGCTGGGCCCCAGTGGAGGGCGCCCCAGGCCCGGGGCCTTGGAAGCTAGTCCCCCTCCCACAATAAAAGGCTCTGCCCAGCGGGCCTCCTCTGCTCTGTCTGTGCTGCGCCTCGCATCCACTTCCCAGGGTTCCCCGGGGGTGGGGCTGGAAGAAGAACTCTTTAAAAAACAAAAGTTTATTATAGAGTCTTAAGAAAGGGGCTGCGGGTCGGGGCCGGTGCTGCAGTTACGTGGGCGGCGCCTCCTTGTCCTCCTGCTGCATCTGGGCGATCAGCTGCTGCCGCTCAGCGGCCTGGCGCATGCGCATCATGACAAGGCTCTCGTAGTCCCTCTCCGACCGCACTGAGCCCTGGAGAAGGAGGGGACAAGGCAGGGTCAGCAGCAGCCAGGCAGAGCCCCACAGACTCCAGGCTCAACGGACAGGGCCCGGGCAGAGCTGCGGTCTGAGTCGGGAGGGAGGAGGCTGGCGGGAGGGAAAGCTCGAAGGGCAGCCGTCTGGAACCCAGGCGGCAGGGGCTCTCCTCGGCCAGATCCCCCACCTCCTTTCCCCAGGCCCCTCCCACCTGCATCGGCTGCGGCCCTCTCCCGGGGTTCCAGCCCGGCCCCCTGGCCCTTCACCTGCCCAGCGTGGCTTCTGCCCGCACAGGTTCCCACCTCTGGCAGCCACGGGCTGCAGCCGGCCCCGCCCCTGCTGCCTGGCCTCCCGGTGGCCTGGCTGCTGCTGAGGATGCAAAAGGGAGCCCTGCCCTCCGAACAGAGGGCGCTGCCCCACCCCAGGATGGAAGCCAGCGTGAGGCCGGCGTGCCTTCTAAAATACACACCAGGGCTCCCGGCTCCTTTGTGATCTTGCTAGCACAGTGCAGTGGATTAAGGAGTGTTGTATTTTAATAATCAAAAGAATAACAAACAGCCACCTGGGGAGGGGGGCCGAGGCTGTGGGCTGGAGAACCAGCTCAACAGCAGAGCCCTGATAAGGTCTGCAGTGCAAATTAAATCACTTCCTCCCTCCCAGCGAAACAATCCTGTGGTCGCAAGGGCTTCTAGGGTAAGTGCCGCCCACCAGAGCCAGCACGGGCGAGCCAGGGCAGGGCTTGGAGGTGCCGTGGCTCCACCCAGTGGCACACCACGCTGGCGCCCAACAGCCAGGAGGAAAGTTTGGTGGCCAGTGAGCCAGGAAATCGGAAGGGAGTGGCTGGGGTTCAGATGCTAGGCCCTGGCCAACTGGTTTGGGGTCAGGGGTGTAGAGAAACAGGAAGTGTTACTCTGCTGGGAGCCCAGGAGCCACCCCCTCCAGCCTCAGTGCCGGCCCAGACACAGCCTGCTGAGAGTTCCCGGCAGCCCTCTCCCCTGAAGGCCCAGCAGCAGGGGAGGAGGGGTGTGCACACGACGGTGGGGGTGGGGGTGGGGTGTCTGGCCTTGGCCGCCCCCCTCCTGCCAGGGTGCTGCCTGGGCAAAGTGAGGGACTATGAGGAAGCTGAGCCACCAAGCTGGATGCTGGCAGCCGCCCTGACAAGAAAACTCAGACTCACCTGCGGCCTGCCCAGAGCCCCGCCCTGGGAGGCGTGGAGCCCGTAGAGCTATGGGGCTGCTCCCCCCTCCCCATTCCTGCGGGCCCAGCAAATGAGAGCGCCTGTCACCCAGGGCTGAGTCAGCCGCACTAGCCACAAGTCTCTTCCTTCCCCTGCCTAGCCTGCCATCAATTAACTCCCACCTCCCTGGGCTCCTCCCACCCAGACACGCTGGGGGGCCGCGGTGGTGGGGCTGGGAAGCGACAGGAAGTGGCCTGGTGACACAGGGCAGGGCTGCCCCCAGAGGAATCTTGGGCGCTCCACTGCCCTGGGGTGTTGGTTGCGGCTGCCCCATCCCTGCACGGGATGCCACAATTACCTCAGAGCAGGAAGCTGGCTTCCCACCTGACTGAGTCAGCTGAGAACACAAACGCGGCCCCACGGCCGCACGCTGCCACAAACAGCCAAGCCACTCATCAGAGGCCCAGGCCGCCAGCGGAGAGGGCGCAGCCCTGCACTGCCCTGCACAGGCTGGGGACCGGGCGAGCTGGGTCCCATCGGCTCCCACCCGTGCAAGGAGGGCGGCTGCGGCTGCCGCTGCCAAGAAGACCCGTCCCTGCCACCCTGGTGCTGCCTGGCTCCAGCTCCGGCTCCGTAAGTGCTGCTCCTTCCTCTGGGGTTTTTCCACTGCCCTATCAAGTAACCAGGCCACTCCTGCCCCGTGGGAAAATCGCCGCTCTCTGCTCTCCTGAACAAAAAAAGCAGCCTCCTCCTGGGGCCTCCGCTCACCATCCACGATGCTGGCCCAGGGCTGCAGAGCACGAGCCCCGCGGCCCCTGCTTCCCGCCCACTAGGGTGGCTCCCTGATCCTTGGCTTCACTGCTCCAGAGGGACGCAGTGGTCGCTGGCTGCTCTTGAATGCTGGGCTTCTGGGTGCAGGGCCCGCCTGCTGGCTCCCGGGGTCCCATGGAGACCTGGCGGAAAGGCTCCTTCCGCAACGCCCCCTTCTTCAAGCGGCTGACCCTGGGGCGGCCCCGGCGACTCTGGCGACAGGGCAGCGTGCTCAGCCAGGCCAGCACGGCTGGCGGTGACCACGAGGAGTACAGCAACCGAGAGGTCATCAGAGAGCTGCGAGGGAGGCCGGATGGCCGGCGCCTGCCGCTGTGGGGGGACGAGCAGCCCCGGGCCACCCTGCTGGCCCCACCCAAGCCCCCGCGTCTCTACCAAGAGAGCTCCAGCTGCCCCAACATCCTGGAGCCGCCAGCCGCCTACACTGCTGCCTACTCGGCCACCCTGCCCTCGGCGCTCTCCCTGGCAGCCCCCCTCCACCACTCCTCAGAGGACCTTGTGGACACTGCCCCCTTCCAGGGGCCGCCTGGCCCGGACCTCAACGATCCCTTCTTCTCCTTCAAGGTGGACCTGGGGGTGTCACTCCTGGAGGAAGTTCTGCAGCTGCTGAGGGAGCAGTTTCCCAGTGAGCCCAGCTCCTGAATGGGGGCGGGGCGGAGCAGAGCTGGGCTGATGAAGGGGCTAGCGGCTGTGGACGCAAGTCGTGGTTAAGGAAAAGGCAGGGATGGCAATCGAGGGCCACGGCTGCCCCCTGGACTTGAGTGGTCTTTCAGGTCACCCCAGCAAGGTACGGAGGCAAGTCAGAAATGGTGAGGGGCCACTTCCTGGCAGGAGGCCTGAAGGAAGCTGGCGCAGCCAGGGAAGGGAGCCACACCCTGCAACGCAGGAACCCGGCAAAGGCCTGCAGAGTGGGAGGGTGGCACAGGGCAAGTCACGGAATGGGAGGACACAGACTGGGCAGAACCGATCGTGCCGTGCGCCGGCCCCTTCTGAAGCCACTGTCAACACACAGGTCCCCGCACAATGCTGGGCAAAACTGGTCCAGCCCAGGCCGAAGAGCAGGGTGGGAAGACCTGAGAGGAGATGGGGGACAGGCCTGACTTTGTCCAATGTGGCAGCCACTTGCTACATCTGGCTGTTGAAATTAACTGAAATAAAATAAAATACAAAACTCAGTTCCTCAGTCCCACATTTCAAATGTCCAGCAACTCCACATGGTTAATGGCTGCAACAGTAGAGGGTACAGGATGAACATTAACATCCTGGGGTTAAGTTTCACTGGACAGCACTGGCCTTGGGCCTAGGCCATCAGTGGCGTGTAGAAGGGACAAGCATCCAGGGGATGCAAAGGCAGGCCAATAGTGACATAAGTGATAACTCAGATGATCAGCAGCCTGTCAACACAGCTGTCCAGAGCAGTCCCCAGTGCCACGGAAGGCAGCTCTAGGCAGTGGCAGCCAAAGCCACAGGCACGGTTGGTAATCAGGTGCTTTGGGGAATTCCCAGAAGTACTGGTGATGGAGCTCTTGGGAAATGCAGCTGAACAGTGGCAGATGCCCTTCCTGGGAGAAAAGCCTGAATCGGGGTAGACTCAACCATGAGGAGGCAACAGCTGGTCTCCAGAACCCTCCACCGGGACTGGGGGAGCTCTGCCCTGCCCGAACCTCTGACGATGGGCCTGCCAGCCAGGTCAGGGCCGTAGGTTGTGCTTCTGCCTCACCCCGCGGCCTGGCCGGGGCGATGTGGTTCTGACACCCAGGCCTCTTCGAGCCTGGCAGAGGGGAGGGCAGGCTGCAACATCGCTGCCTCCACAGGCCCTATCCATAGCCTCCCCTTTCCTCCCCTGGCCCAGGTGCCAAGCTGAAAGCCTCCCTTGTGGCTTGAGGAGCCAAAGAATAAAACTAACACAGCCTATGGAGTGTCCCATGAGGCCGTGGAATGCAGGGACTTAGTTGTAGGAATGAAGTCTCTAAACTGGGTCCCGAGTTGGGCTCGAACCAGTTCCTGTTGGTCCGCTGTCCGGGGTCTGAGCACACTCACAGAGCGCTCTGGCAGGAGGAGAGCTGGTGGCATGGCGGAGGGCCACGGGAGCAGTGCCCTGCGAACCCGCTGAGGAGGCAGACCGCAGGCACCCAGGCTGTTCCAGAGAGGGCCGAGCCAGGCTGCAGCTTGCCCCAGAGCAATCGGTATCACCAAGACGGGGGTGGGGTGGCCACAAGCCCTGCCAACCCCACTTCTGCCTCCAGACTGGAAAATGCCAGGGCCAGGGGAGGGGCTCTCACGTGAGCCTTCGTGGAAGCTGAGGACTGAGGGCTGGCAGTGAGCTAGCCTCAGCCAGGAGGCCTATCCCTCATGAGTACGGCAGGCGGTGGCCCCGCATCAGCAGGGCAGCTTCTGAAGAGACAGCCCTGGTCACCCCTGTCCAGTGCACATTCACACCTGGGAAACTGAAGCGCTGGGAGAGGACGCAGCTGCCGAGGTCACCTGCCCCTCCCCTGCAGCTCTGGGTGAGCCAAGCCCCAGCTGCTTCCCTCCACAAGCAAAGGCAGCAGGAGCCCTCTGGGTGGGTGAGGAGGAGAGCCCACCAGGAGCCCCAAGTGGCGGGAAAGCAAAGCCTAAGAACCCTGGGTAGGGTAGAGCCCCCAGGCAGGGGGGCTTTCCCCCCCCTTCAGGGGGGAAAGAGGCCAACAGAACCACAGGCCTCCAGCTTGGGTTGGTGGCCCGACCAGTCCCACTCGGCTATATCTGGATAGACAGTGTCCCCAGAGAAGCCCAAACAGGAAGAGGACCCCCAAGACCCGAGCAGGCCCAGCTGGGTGAGGCCTCTCTCCTCACCTTTGACAGTCCTGGGTGGCCAGGGCCCACAACGCCCTGGGGCTGTCCCTCCAGCCAGGAAATCTTCAGGGGGTTATCAATAAGGCCCACTTCATTCTGCACAGCCAGCGCCTGCCAAACAGAGCATCCGGTCCTAGTGCCATCATCAAATCAGCCACAGAGCGGCTCCCCCAAGCCCACAGGAAAAACGGAACCAGCATTCTGGTCTTGCGAGCAGAGCCGGCAACCTCAACAGGCTGAAAATGATGGTGTGCTGAAGCTCCAACCCTTCTCGGGACGGGGGAGGCCCTGCTCATCTGGGGGAGCGAGGACCACAAGGCTGGGAAGGCAGTGTGAGGGCCTCCAACCTGGAGAGTGAGGTAGAGGGTGTGGAGCCAGCTGTCCCGAACCTGAAAGTCACTGGGCCTCCCCTTCATCCCGGAGCACTCCCCCAGCTGTGCTAGGGGTCAGGGGCCCCGGGGGAGCCTTGGCTCTGTACAGACCCAGAGATGCCCTGGGAGTGGACAGCCTAACTTGGGGCCCGTGGGATAGGGCTGCTGCCCTAGATGACAAGGCACTCACCGCAGCCTTGACAGTCGCAAACTCCACCACAGCAGTGCCTGCCCTCTTACTGGAAAGCACCAGGTTGAGAACCTCACCATACTGTGGGGACAAAGGGAGCCCAGTAAGCATGGCTCAGCCATTAGCCCAGCCCAGCCCAGGGAGCACACACAGCCCTTGTAGCTGCGGATAACCCCATTGCTGGCCAGAGCAGAAATAGGAAGGTCGCGTTTGTTTTTTTTTTGGTTTGTTTTTTAAGATTTATTTATTTATTTGAAACTCAGACACACAGAAGAAAAGAGAGAGAAAGAGATCTTCCAACTATTGGTTCACTCTCCAGATGTGCAACAGCCAGGGCTGAGCCAGGCCGAAGCCAGGAGCCAGGAACCAGGAGCCAGTGTCATCCAGGTCTCCCATGTGGGTGGCAGGGCTGTCTTCTACTGCTTTCCCCAGGCCACTAGCAGGAAGCTGGACTGGAAGTGGAGCAACTGGGACATGTACCAGTGCTCATATGGGATGCATCGCTGGTGGCAGCTTTACCTGCCATGCCACAATGCCCGCCCAAGGAAAGAGTGTTTTTAAACTCCCTTCCTTCTTTCCTTTCCTTCCTTTCCTTCCTTCCCTTTCTTAAATTTGAGAGACAGGGAGGGAAAGCTTCCTTCCACTGGTCCACTCTAAACGCCACATTGGTTGGGCCAAGTTGAGGCCAAAGCCAGGAACCAGGAGCTCAATCCAGGTCTCCCACCTGAGTGCCAGGGACCCAATTGCTTGAGCCCTCAGCTGCTGCCTCCCAGAGTCCACATTACCAGGAAGCTGGAATCAGGAGCTAGAGCAGTGGACTGAACCAGGTACCCTGACGCGGGGTGCAGGCACCTTAACTGCTACACTGAACACCTGTCCCAGACAGACTTTTTCCTCAAGTAATACAGGACAGCAAAGTAGAGCTAAGGCAAGATTGGCGACCTGGACTGGCGTCCTGGCAATGGATGCCTCAGTGGGCTACAGCAGGGGAAGGGTGGGGGGAGGGCCCTGTGCCAGACACCCCCCACACACACACTCAGCCACGCCCTGTGCTTCTAAGGGAGGTAGGGGCCAGACAGAGGTAGAGGAGAGACACACGTGGCAACACAAGTGAAAGGAAGACCAGGACCTGGGAGAAATCAGCCAAGACAGCCCCGCTCCCAGAAAAAAAAAAAAAACACACACACACACACACAGCCGGTAGAGATGTTAAGGAGAGTTCGGGCACAGAGGACCCTGGGGTTGGGCGGAGATGCAGACTGGGGACGGGAAGAAGGGAAGTCACTGGGGCAGACCTTTTGCAAAAGCCGCAGGAGGACATCTTCGGAGTAGCCACCTTGGGACCCATCCTCCTTGCACTTCCACTTTAGCTGAAAAGACAGCACCATTCAACACCACCCGCGCTGACCAGCACCAGACCCCAGAAGTGAGCAGGCACTTCCTCATCTCCGAGCACCGGTGACCTGGGACGCACCACCCAAACCCGGCTGTCCCCTTGAAAACCAAGAGGCACCCGCTCCAGAGCGCTTCCTGCGCTGTGAGGCGCACCCGCAGAGGGCTCCGGGGTGTGCGGTGCCCTTGCCTTTTGTGGGGAGCTCTGACAGGCAGTCCTGGCCTCCAGCAGCCCCTCGAGCCACGGGAGCCTCTGTTGTTGCTGCGGGGAGGCGGGGCAGGTGGCCCGCAGACCCTGCCTCAGCTCACCTTTAGTTTAGGGGTTCCTTTGGCTTCACAATGTTCTGCCTTTCCTAGAAATGTTGGGAAAAGAGGAAAAGAAGAACGTACGGGAGTCAGAGGTTCTCTCAAAGGGGATGCAGGCCAGGGCCAGAGGGACCTAGCAAGGTCACACCTGCCCTGGTGAGGGGCCTGGTGGGCCAAGGGGATGCAATCTCACCCCCGCTCCCAGAGAAGCCGCCACCCAGGTGTGGTCTGCACAGCCCTCCTGGAGGTCACCTGGTAGTGTTCTCCAGACGAAGGGCTAGGAACACCTTGTGGGAGCAGGAGGCAGAGACAGACCACCCAGTTCCACTGAAAAAGTGTCCCAAGGCTTCCCTCCGGGACTTGCTCCATAAGAAAGCCACCTCTGCCAGGAACAACACAACCACGGCCAGGCCATCTCAGGCATAAAAAAAAGCAAACAGGCCCAAGAGAAGTGGTAGGAAGAAGGGGCAGGGGCATGTGACAGAGCTGGAGTGCTATGGATGCTCCTAGGGTTCCAGCAACTCAACTGAGCACCAGTGCGGCCGCTCTGGGCACTGCGGAGCCACACGGATCGGGGCACGATGGCTCTCACCTCTCAGCCTCTGCTCCCGTTCCTGGCGCATCTGCTCCTGCATCAGCCTCTGCTGTTCTTCTAACTGCCGGGAACCTTCTTCTCGGAGGCGTTCAATCTGCAGAGTGGGGGTGGAGGGGGACAATTCTGCCTGGATCCAGCTCCAGGTTGGCTCCCCTTGTAAAGGTCCCTGGGAGGCACCACCTGCTAGGATTCAGCAACCTGTCGGGGGGACAAGGCACTCCGCTGCCCCAGAGGAAGGTGGAAAGAGCAGGCCCTCCTTGCCACACCAGCCACCCACATCCCTCCTCCTCCTCCTGCCCAAAGCCCTGGTGCTAGTGTGCGCGGATGCCCACCTCTTGCTCGAGCGTCCTGGTGCTCCGGCTCTCCTCCTCCTCCTCACTGCCCTGGGCCTGGGCCTGCCGCTCCCGGGCCTCCAGGTCTAGGCACAAGGGTTGAATGAATGACCAAGTTGCTGGCCTGCGCAGTTCTTCCACAGCCTCAGCCCAC